GCTCACTGCCACCACCACCACCACCACCAGCAGCAGCATCATCACCATCGTCGTCATCATCATCTTTTTCATTGTCATCATCATCGTCATCGTCATAACCGTCTTCCTCGTCATCGTCATCATCATCATTAACATCTTCATGAGACCACCGCACTCACCATCATCACCACCACCGCCCCAACACCTTCGCCACCGCTACCGCCACCACCGGTTGCTTGAGGTTTACAGCGATCCTGTGACGCGCTTCCTGATGGCCCTGTACGTGGACATGGATGCTTGTCAAGGTGTTAGCTTCGTCCATGCAGAGTATCAGAACCAGAGCTAAATCGTCGCAGTGCAAGTCCTCACCCTTCTTCGCCGTCTGAGAGGCATGCCGGATGGTTCAAAAAGGACGCAGCCTACCCAATCTAAGGACTTCGATGAGGCCCAGCACGAGCTGCAGAAATGCGAATCTTGGCGGCTGCAGGTTGCTGGTGGATCACGATTTTCGCGAGCCGCTGCTGCCTGTTGTGACTGAATTGTAAAGATATGTATACCGCTGGTATTAGTATTTCAATACAGCAGAGTCGACCTTCATTTTGCCTGTTTCGTGCCAAGGAGAAAGTGTGCAAAGTGGACTATTTCTTGATGCGGCACTGGCAAGACTTCCAGGACAGGAAGCTTATGACTGCTCTTGCTGCCTGAGCTGGTGAAGAGCCTCGAGATTGCTGTTGGGACAAAGTGGGGCGCTGGGGCAAGCCAACCAAGCTCTCATGCGCAGGAGAACGCCCGGCTGCTTATCTTCGAGACGTACTGCAGGAGCTTAAACTGATGTCAGTCAGAGTGGCTGCAGGATGCAGTTCTCGTTTTTGCATTTGGGTCGTGAAACACTGACAGACGAAGGATCCACCAGTGCATCAACATTGGTATGATCGCATCGAAGCTCAACATGGAAGCGGAGGAGAGTGCCGGAAGAGTTCGCTGTTTCATGTTGACATTGTTTTTCACATGCCAGACACCTGTTTCAGCAACATGCCGTAGCTTCAACAGCGGAAGCAGTGTCCCCTTGCCAGGAGGCTGAGGTTTGGATTGCCAGAGCCCCAACGCATAGGTTGATTGATTTTGTGGAGCCTTCTATCAGATTCTATCAGGAGGCTTGCTTGTCGTGTTATCACGTTTAGCTGTACCCCAAGCCTGGTACAGAGGTCAAACTCCTGTACTACACGTGCGTGACTTGTAGGTTTGACCCAGGCACCCGCATCGTTCAACCAGCCATGTTGTTGGTCGTTGAGACCACCACCCTGTCGGCTAATAGCACCCGCACATGCAAATTCGTCCCGGCAAAAGCATCGCGCAAGAGACGTAGCAATGCAGCATTCAATTTTCAGGTGAAGCTAATCCAGAATGCCAAGCTGGACGCCCGGATTGACTCCGAGAAGTGTCGTGTGGTGATGTCCAAAGCACCTCCCAGCGTCTACCAGCAGGCACTGCATGGGCCTTCCGATGTTCGGTTTGAGGCTAATAGATTGAAGATTGACGAGAATCCCGGGCACTAGCAGGGCTTGAGGCGATGCTCTCTGGTCTTATGACCTGTTTCTGATGTGCTGCACGCGCCATGCTGGCTGCGAGAAGATTAGCTGGAGATTCTGTACGGGTTCCGCTTGTGTGATTGGTCATTGGCCTGCTCCAGCAAAGCATTTCTGCCGTGCAGGTCATCGAGAAGACCAAGAACCTGTCGTTCAGAAGTACCATGTGTCCCGGAGGAAGTCAGTAAACTTGATGACTCCTTGTTATTGCTGTTGCTGTTGCTGTCGCTGTCTGTTGCTGTTGCTGTTGCTGTTGCTGTTGCTGGTGGTGTTGGTGCTGGTGCTGGTGGTGGTGGTGGTGGTGGTTGTTGTTCTTGTTCGAATGAATTGCTGAAGCAGATCCAGCGAGGCTCCTCTCCAACTTGGAGAAGAGGGAGAAGGCGGTTGGGTGGGCATCACCGGGTTGTCCGAATTCCCTTGACTGACCAAGCTGTGCAGGACATGCGCACTGCGTCCTGAGCGGGAGCGACGTAGATGCACAGCTTTGCACATGGACGGCGGTCACCCTGCCGAGCTGCGATATATACTTCGCAGTTACATCGCATGGTCATTGGCCGAAGGGACATCTCTCACTTGCAACACTTGGGGCTCAATCGATGGTTCTGAGTCGTTCATCCACACCAAGAGCTGTTGCTGGAGCTTGATGCTCGAATTTCCAAACCCTGCCCACACCAGCTGAAGCCAACAGGTGTACTGCAGGCTTAACAGCAGATGCTTTTCTGTCTCAACAAAGCACCAAGCACGGCACGGGAGTCACAAGCCACAGCCACTAAGTCAGTTTTATTATCCTTAAAGCGCAAGCTGCTCCGAGGGTAAGCAGTCTTATGAGCATGGCTCGCAGGCCACTGTATCTCTTCAGATTCAAGCACGAAGGTTAGCCATCTCGGCCATGATAATTTGTGATGCAGGTGCACACGCGCAAACTGCTTTCAAGCTAAGTTTTCAGAGTTGCGAGCTGCGTGATGTTATAGCTCCATGCATGGCTAGCCGCTAGCCATTCTACTGGATATGCCCTTAGAGCGTGATGGCATCTATAGTATCTATAGCAACAGAAGCGAGCACCGCGCGGAACGTAAGGTGAAGTCAGAGACTGACCGACTGACAAAGGAGACCACCTCCGGCCCGAGAGGCTTAAGGTACGTAGCTCACAGCCGCGCAATGGAACAACACGCGCCGCAATAGTCGACTACGAACGACGATACGAAAATCCCAAGGGGGGAGAGCATCAGGAGACCGAAGTTGACCACGAGCTGAGCCGAAACTGTCATCGTGAAAATTTGCTGCTGCCACGCAGAGTATTGATTGCGAGCCATGGGCATACCAATGTGGTGAGAAGTCGCCGAAGAGCAAGCCAGCGACACCACAAAGAAGCTGACTTCGAACTGTTGGAATATTGTATATATACATATGAATCTATGTATACCGCGAGGCGAGATAGCGTGGCCAGGCGCTGTGGGGATAGCACCACGGTGTCCGACGCCACAGAAATATTGACCAAGACAGTGAAAATTCCGTAGCAATGTATGGGATGGCCGTAGCATGCCGCGAGATGGCTAGAAGCCTGCTCAAGTATCACGAAGGAAGACATCAGCAGGGTGACTGCGAGTGCTTATCCTGTTGATACTGCTGCACAGACGCAGCGAATAACTGCCGAAAGGCTATGACAAGCGCGGCGGATGTTGAGCACGTGCTCGGTTTTTCCGCTAGCTGCCTCACTTGCCTTGGGCTGCCATCGTTGTAAGATCCCACGTAGCACAGCATGAAGCCAAAGTAGCTATGATGAAGTTTCTCATTTCAAGTGCGCTAAGCCTTGTTGCACGTAGCCCGGATAATGAGGGTCACTGACCCCGGGTCCCCTTAGAAGTACCAAGGCATGAGTTCGAACGGAACGGTTCCAGACTTTCTTGGGAGACTGGGTGTGAAAGCCCGCAGTCCGTGCCCCGACTGCCTGTCTTTCCCATGAGAAGCCGTGAATGCTTTAAGCCCTCGTGAATTGACACGAGGCATTCTTGGGACAATTTCATGTGAGCTTGCTCTTTTGCGCCGAAGACAGGGCGCAGGCGTGTCAAAGAGAAGGTATCAGTGGGACATTCAGCGTGTCTTTGTTTGTTTGTGCGTGTGTGCAGACGCAAGTCTGGCGTTCTCCCTGCATACAATTTTGTGTTCACATACACTTGTGTATTACTGTGTATATGTCGTTGTTATGGTAACAGAATACTCGCGCCCATCCCATGCCAGTTCACACGGAAGGAGAAATTGTCTGACCTTGTGCAGGCTGCCGACAGGTTTTGCCAGAAGCCGCTAACCTCGTGGAAGGGCGACCGGTACCGAAGCCCGTACCAATGAGTCCCATGAGTTGCCTCCAACCCGATCTTCCCTTCGACTTGTGTGTGGGCACCATTAGCTGACATAGGTGCTTCTGTCGTTGAGTCATGTCATGTTCATTACGGGGGAAATGCCTCAACTCGTCCAGACAGCCTACGGAAGAATTTTGGAAAAGCTCGGAACGGTCGCCAGGCCATGTAATCGCTGACTTCCCAGGACGCAGTTGAGCACATCCAAAAAAGTGCGCGTTGTAATTGCGCGAGTCTCTGCCGGGCTTCGGAAACAGACAAAGGTCGCTGTTTGCTTTCAGCTTGTGAGCAAATATTGGAAATCCAGATTGCGTTGTTGAGCCAGCAGGCCGCGTGACGGATAGGTTTGGAGAGTAACGTCGAATTTCAGAGTGGAGTGGGGCTTTAAGCCATGAACACTCCTTTCTGCCAAACTGGGACCCTGACCTGACTGCTTGAGGCATGGTGCAAGGTCTGTTTGCATGTGTTGAGTTTAAGCTGACACGAGCATGCAAGGCTAAGGAGAACTTTGAGCCGAAAGCTTGAAAAGCAGTCTCGCCTGTTGACTACCGATCCTGTCATGGTCAGCCGAGGCAAGACGATGTGGGTGCTGTTTATGGCCATGAATGGAGACTGGGCTCTTAATAAGGAGCTTAGTAGCTTTAGTTTAGCAGTTTACAAGCTACCATCTTCAAACTTTGGAAAATTGTAGCTACATGTGAAATCATTCCGGATGCTTGGCCTGAGCGCACGAGTCGCTTACTCACCAAGTGACTGTGGTCAAGTGTTCGCCATGGGGAAGTCGCAGCAGGCCAGTTGCAAAAAGCTACCATACATAGTTGGGATCTGCAGTAAATGAGAGGGTTTCCGCACTTATTATGGTAACTTGAAATTGAATTCCTTGGCGACTTAGTATAAACTCAACAAGAGCCCAGGAGACCCAAGTGGAATGCAGCCGTTGTTCGACGCCTACCCGGCTACTCTCATCTTCGCCGCACCTGGGTTTGAGCACAGGGGCCGACGTCACCAAAAGGAGTTGAAGTGGATGTTTTGAAACCGAAGAGTTTCAACGAAAACCTCGTTCATTATAGGAGAGGCTAGCTGGCGTTCTTTGAGTGATTCGGATCGCGTTTAAGCGTGCGTTCAATTTGAACGTGGGGACTTGCTTGCCTGCATTCAGAACTGCCGTGACTGAGGCTGGCTACATGATCTTCACCAGTTTTGCCCCGGGGCGGCAGTGCCAACTTAGATTCTTAGATCTGCGGCACAACTTCTTCTGTCTTGCAGGTGATTAATAAGGTGTAACGTGTGGTGTGGTTATCTGTTGGAGGCGCAGTTCCCCGGCCCATAAATGTATAGTTTCCAGATCCACATGCCTGGCTCAAATCTGTTCAGCTTCCCACAGTTCATGGTTTTGGTGCTTTACATGCTTGCTGAATGCCCGTACCTCCTGCGGTGATACTGCAGTGGTTTGCGCGAAACCTATTGCCTCTTGCTGTCTGGTGTATTGGCTGTTGTGCACACTGAATGGCACGAGCCAACAGGAATGTCCAATGTTATGGGTAATGGCTTGTGCATTTTCACCTTGTGCCCTTTTGTTAGACGAAAGGCTAAAACCCAACATCCGAAACCGAGGCGATTCTGTCGGTGCTGACAGGTGTGGTCCGGGCCTCAGTAGGAAGACAGCTTCAATGATTCGGGGGTGGAAGTTTGCACAAAGTAGGATGGAAAGTCAAGGGCCCAAAGGGTTGGACATGGGTGTTGCTGGAGAGCGCAGGGTCTATACGACTTAGTACTGCTGATCTTGGCTGGGCATGTCCTCAGGCTTTGCATGGTCTGACAGGCTGCAGGTCTGACGGTGGAAATGCAAGTCCAGAGTTTGAAAGGCCAAAACCATGAGTGTGTGGTGACAACCGTGATGCTGGCATACGCTTCGCTCGGCACAGATCCAGCCGGAAGTGAGAGGGCGGTGAATCAAAAGTGAACCCAGATTTGGGGGCGTCTGGGAGAGTGAATCGGAAAGTGAAGCCGGAGGCCTCCCCAGGCAAGGGGCTTTATTTTGGATTCACTTTTGATTCACTCCGAGTCAGGAAATATTCACATTTGATTCGCTTTTCCATTCACTTTCGATTCACTGTTTTTGGCCGGGCGGCCCCGACCCTTCCAACCGGGGTGCCGCCCCACCCCACCCGCAAGTCACCAGCCGCCAGCCCAGCCAGTCCGCCCGACACACCACCCGGCTAAACTAGACTAACTCGTGCCCTTTTGCCTAGCAAAAGGCCCGCGGCGCAGAGGACATGCCAAGTAGCAGTGTCGCGAGTCGCCTTGCGCGTGCGTTTCACAGTTGAGAGAAGGCCGAAATTCCAATCTACGGGTGAATCAGGAAGTGAACCAAGGTGAATGGCAAAGTGAATCGCGAAATCGGAGTGAATCCAAATCGAATCAGCCAGGTGAATCAACACCAGAAAAGAAGACAATCCTTGTTCGGGCCTCTGCAATAGATCTTGCTTAAGATGTCTTAAAGCCTAGTACTTCAATGAATTGCAAATATGCAGGGTGTGTAGATCGTGCCCAACACTCGCCAGCGTTGGAATGGGGAGCCCAGATCCACGCGAAAACCTAGCAGTGCGCGAATATCCCAGGTGGCAGACAAGATGGCCACAGCGGCAGAGGAGCATGAGAAGGAAGTTGAGGCGTGTTTTGCTGGCTTCGGTGTGAAGCGTGAAGCTATACCAATTGAGCGACATTGCAACTATTTGGCGCCCGAGCCTTGCTGTCGGCACATAGGTCAACTGCCCGTATCGTGAGTGCAGCCCACACCACCTGTATTGCTGGGATAGCTGGCATATCGTTGTGTCCTGTCGACAGGAAGCTGAGACGAAGAAGCGGGACGGGTTCCTCAGGAAGTACTTGGAGGAGACTTTCGAAGGCGCGACTGACAATCGAAGCTTGGACTCACTGATGGGTTTATTATCTTTCTCTCTTTCTTTCTCTCTATCTATCTATCTATCTATCNNTATATCTATATCTATATCTATAAATATCGGCAGCGACTCCCTTTCTGTTGAGACTAGTCCTCTCTGCATTCGATTTAATCTAAGCTCGTAGTGGGATCCTCGACAGTCGGCGGCAGTACTGGAGTAGACGGAGAGGGTTGAGGGTTTGAGAGTCGGAGAGATTGATCTTCACATCAATGCATGTTCTTCGTATGTCTATTCGTTGGGCCAAGGTAAAGAGATGTCTTACAAGACCTACCAGGCCGGACTGAACCTGAAGCCCGCACCCAAAGCCAAAGGAGCACTCCAAGACTCGGGGTCCATCCATAGAACTGGCAGAATACGAACAATGCGCTGGGCTGAATGGGACAACGAGAACCTCGCTGGCTATGACAGCTGGAGTAGGAAGGAGTATATCATCACGAGAGGAGAGCCGTGGATCGCGGGTCTTCTCTTGGCCATAGTTCATCTGGGCCTCGTGGAGTGAAGATTCAAGCCATCCCCCCCCCCCCCCCCCCCCCAACCTCCCGTGAAAAAGGTGCAGAATGCTGTTAGTGCCAGGCCCTGGTGGACAAGGAAGAGGTTTGTGAGGACATTCGTCGTGTCACAGCTACATGCTCTCTGACGCTTAGTTTGCTGAGACCTACGCATGTCCAGATTTGCCGGAATGTGTAAAGGAGATGTGCGAGATCCTAGACATGGACAAAGACGAGCTGCTGGCTGCCTGGGATTCTTGGCTTTGCATCGGCTTACAACACACTGCTGTGTCGCACGGCATCGTTCCATCTGCAGGGTTCCCACCGCACGGTCCTGACATGCTGTACGCTTGTACATCCGATGATACACTCCCACTTTGTTGCTTCTACATCTTACCTGGAGCTCCTTTATCCTGCCGCTCCCCAGGAGAGCTTCCCCAAGGAGCTGAAGCAGACGCCCGGGGCTTATGCCGTTTCTCCCTGCCGAGCATGGGTCTACTTCCATCGCCCGTGTAGTTTCATGTGTCTATGTGTTTCTAGCTTTTTTTTTTCCTCTCTCTCTCTCT